TCTCCTCTCCTATTTCTGAGCCTTCTTTGTTACTATATGCATAACAGGTTGCCTTTAACCACGGCGTTCGGGATATCGTCGTTTCATTTTCGCTCACCAGAATAAATGGTAGAATTGCATCAAGCATTCTTTCGGGTTCCTTGACCATTCACTCCCACGCGCTAGATAACTGAATATAATCGCCCATTCAGCACTTCATTCTCTGAACATGCCTTTGAAGGTGGAGAGGCAATATAGAATCAGACTCACCCGAAAAAGGTCTGCTTTCATGATTTCCAGTCCACAAGAACCCGCTATGCCGCCCTACGGTGTGCACCATGTAGGAGAACAACCAACAAATGCCATGCTGACTCTGAGGTGTTCTGAAAGAACCCATTGGCTTTGTTTCTTTTGGTCTTACCGCTTTCGAGCATACAGGTGCTGTCTGTATGCTCATATCGATCAACTTGTCACCTGAGCCTGTTCTCATCTTCTTCCCCTCCTCGTCGTAAGCCTTTTGATCTCTACCTTTCACTGTAGCCTTCAGGCTTCACCTCACCGTCTCTGGCGTGCAGAACCAAGATATGCACTCACAGACACAGTCTGAGCAAGTAAGTGAGCCCAGCAAGCAAGCAAGTATGAAATCGTGCCGCGCTCATCGATCGTTCTTTATGCCTTAGACTGTCAGGCAGTGATTTTGTTACGCGAAATCAGTTCCGATCCTTACAAACCATCACGACTGCACGTTACAATCGCGCGACAAGACGATATTTACGATGTGTTTATTCCCCTTTCTGTTCGGGCGTGGCCCTGGATACACCCCATCTCCAACCTCCTCCTACTTCTCCACCACTGGCTCAGACGGCTATATCTCCGACGCCGACACCATGTCTTCGAGTTATTCCTCGTCCGAAGAGGAGGGCGCGCAGTCCCTCATCCACACGCAGCCTGTGCGCCGTGGCCAGCGGATGCGTCTGTGGCCTCCCGTCACCGACATGGAGGACGAGGCCGAGGACCAGGACCAGACCGGCAGTGAGAGCGCCGGGCCCGGGGCCTCTGAGGCCCAGACTTCGAGCGACTCTGAGGATGGGGACGCGACCATGTCCATGGCCGAGACTATATCTCTGAATGAGACTGTGTCTATCGAGAACGAGTCCGGGTCTACGAAGGAGAGCTCCGATCGCGTCCGCAGTGGGATGCACAGCAACAGTTCAAGCGACACTGAGGCGTGCAAGCGTGGACGTAAGTCTTCCTCTTCTCCCCTGTGTTATACACAAACACAAGCCCCCCAGACCCCCATCCCCAAGGACCAAAGTCCCCCAAACTAAACCCCCTGAAAAGACAACAGCCACATCCTCCCCAACACCCCCTTCCGCCACACCACAACCTACGCCCGCCTAGGCCGCCCCGAAGTCGTCCCCGGCGCCACCACCTCAGCAACCCCGTACCCAGCTCCCGCCCGCGCCCGCGCCCGCGCCTCGGGGCCCTCCTCCTCTACCACCGGCCCCCGTTCCCGCCGCAAGAAGACCGTCGTTGCCGCCTCCAAGACGCCCCGCGCCACCATCGTGCGCCGCCGACCCTACGACTCGAGTTCCGACTCCGACCTCGACCGCCCGGTGATCCGCAGCTTCTTTAGCGCGTACGCCCCCGTCCCACGCCGCGGCGACGATAACATCCTGCCCCAGCGTCCCATGGCCCGCCGCGCCGCCTACCTCGATATCGCGGCCGTGCACCCCCACCTGTTCGCCGTCGAGCCGCTCCGCGACGACCCCGACCGCGCCTACGATGCCGATCAGTCGGATAATTCGTCGGATCGGGAGGAGTTCAGCGATTGGTCGGATCTGGAGGATACCGGGGATACTGATACTACCGGGGATATTGGTGGTGGTGGTGCTGCTGCTGGTGCTGCGGGCGGTCCTGCTAAGCAGGAGAAGAAGTGAGACTTGGACAGGGAGAGTTGGTCCTCGTCCTTGGGGAGGGGGAGCTTTGTCTGCTTACCTGGTGTGTTTGTGCACTGCCGTTGCATATCTGTTCATGGCTTGGACTCGGCTTGTCGAACTTATCTGGTGCTTCTCTCTTTGACTTCTGCTTGGCTTTTGCCCCGCTTAGGTGGTCATCTGGGTGTGATATGACTTTTTTTCGGAACGGGGATCTTGTTCATTTGGGTCTGGGTCGATTTACCTACAGTACAGTAGTACATTTTCGAGGATCGATCGTCCGGTTGTCAGGGGGTCAGGGGGTCAGATCTAGAGGTGGTATTTGTTGCGTTTAGCTAGCGGAGTTGTGGTTTTCTTTGGCCCTGGACATAACATGACAAAAATCGTCTGGTGATGAGTACTAGTACATACGGACATCAACATGCTGAACTGAAGATACTTGTTCTTCAGGATGATGGTTCGCTTTTCTCGGGTTTAATCGGCTGTGTGGCTCTACCGTAGCTCCTCTCCTATTCTCTGAAATATCTCCCAAAGACGGTAGGTGTCCCTGGTGGGTAGGTAGTGTTTCAGCTATCGGTGTGGGGTGGCAGCCTGTGGCCTCTCTTGTGGCTGGACTGGCGGTATATAGCGGAAGGAAGGTGAATGTCTAGTAGGTGTTTTGTGTTCGCTCCTCTCACACCGCAATCCTCCAAGTCTCTCATCAGAGATCCTGGTCCGGAGCAGCACAGCTTCTGATCACGGTAGTGATCTTTCCTGACAGGATCCGGGCATCTCTTTACCACTTCTGCCAAGGAAAACAGAAGCAGAATACTTCGTCTATCTACGGACGTACGCTAGCTACACGACAGGACACTGCCTTACTGAACGTCGTCAACACCCTAAGGGTTCATGCACTCCGACTTAAGCCCAAAACAAATGTATTCCCATTACCTAGAGCCGATTTTCTTTCATAGCTGCGCGAACAGAACTCAAATTCCCATCGTACCTGAAAACACCGCGAAAGCAGCGGGATGAGAAAACAGACAACACGGATGACACTGAACGATCGAAGACCTTTCAAGAACAATGTATCTTCCCCTTACATAATCCGTTCTCGTCTTGATATTACAACCATCGTGTTGCTTGGACATACAGTCCATCGACGTGCCTGGCCCCTGAGAAGATCACCCATCAACGAGTGAGGCTCAAGTCTGTCTCCCATCACTTATAGAATGTAAGCCGCCGCAGCGACGGCAAGAGCGGCTCCTACCATGTTAGCCTCGGCGTGAGAGCCGGCCCCCGTGGCAAGAGGAGTGCTGGGAGATGCCCGAGAGGAGGAAGCCCCGGGGGTACTGGACGATGCTTGAATGATCGATGAGGAGCTGCGGGAGGCGGTGCCAGAGGCTCCAGGCGTGGACTTGGGCCCGGATGGAGTCACAGCCGAGGAGATGGTGGGAAGAGTCATCGCGCCTGTGTTGGTGGGGTGTGCGCTCGTGTTGGGGGCAGTGGCCGGGGGCTGGGATGTGGTTGTGGTCTCGGCACCAGCAACGGGTGGGAGGGTTATGGGATGGCCAGCCGCGGAGCATTGGCGGACAACCTCGTTCGATACGGCTGTATGGTGGTCAATAGGTGGCCCGTGCAACAAAGATGAGAGGCAGGGGAGAGGTTTCCATACCGCTCTGATCGGCAGCATTGCAGTTCTTTTGCACGCATGGAGTCACGACTTGCACCACCTCTGGCTTCGAGCAATGACAGGCGAAGTCGAGGAGGCGCGAGCATCCATCATTTTGGAACGCGCTGATGAAGCAGTTCAGCTGCGACTCGTTAGCCTTGGGCTTCCGCTACAGTCCTGGCCGGTCACGTACAGAACATTGGGGAAGGTTGGGTAGCTGTGCTCTGGCGAGACCGCTAACAAGGAGCAGGATCAATGCACGGTGGTGATACATCTTGGGCAATTGTTATTATCTTGCTGGACAACAGTAGGCCGGGATGAAGGTGGAATTTTGACTGTTGAGTCTAAAGGAGTGTGAAAAGGAGAAATCAAACGAGTGATAGCTGCTGAAGATATACAGCGGCGCGGAGACAAATCCCCTTGGGACAGCCGTTAGCTCTTATAAGCTAATGAGCTCACCTCGCACAGAGCCGTGGGAAGACCATCACATGTCCCTTTGAGATTGCTATATATACATACAGTGGTGTTTCCCCAAGGCACACGGGTGGCGAGGGCACGACCTGGAGCCTATGAGAGCACAGCGCAACCCCTTTGAGACATGCGGACATACTTTCCGATGTGATGCAAGAGAGGGTAATTGGAGAGAAGAAACGCGTACTAGCAAACGCAATCTTCGAGGTGCGTAACCATTGCACTTCAAGGCTGTGGCCCATTGGTTTAGGCTGCCCTACGTTCCTGTAAACCATCAGCGTGGGCAGACATACCACATATGCTTGTCGGCAGTGACGTGTAACTGTCGCATTTTGCGAAAGGGTTGTGGTTACTGAATCCATAGTTAAGTTTTGTGGATATGTGGATTTATATCATGGTGGTAGGACTGCTTTCGGGCTCAAGCATCACGATAACTTCGAATATCTCAAAGTACTCTCTCTTATTTGTGTGGACTGGTGCCATCCGCAATGCATATGATGGGCATATACTATTGAGAAGTCATATTATAAATCGACATCAACCTCAACGGCTCTGCAACCAGGCAAAAGCAGAAGCCGGTGGCGTAGAGACCATTTGAGCCATTGGGGTACAAACCCCGGCTCAACTTTGATGGCAGGACGGACGGGTCATTTGAGAGAAAGATGGTGGGTGTGACACGTTCTGCCTGCTGTGTGACAATCTTACGCGGCTGCGAAATTGGCACCGAGCAATTTCCCTGGGTAGGAGCTGGCAAGCCAAGGAATCCGGAAGGCACAAGCCATTTGACTGGAATTTTCGGAGATTGAGACCTACCATGGCACTATGGCGTTGCAAAAGGGGCAGGAGCCGTTCATTCATTCCCGTTACCTTTATGAATGGAAGACACCATAGAAGGAAGACAGTCACAGGACCAGAATCCAGTGAGGCATATGTAATCAATTTGACGAGCCAGAGTGATGAAATAATGAAAAGGGTATGCGTAGCATGACCGAAACGCCGCTTCCAAAGTCCAAACCGTACTCCAAGTTCTCACTGTATCCAACATATCATGTACAACTGTTTCTTACTCAAGACAACAACTCGTCGATGTAGGCTCTTTGCTTCGCATCCTCACTCTCTTTCAAGAGTACGGCAAGAACCTCAATTGGCGGGTTGAGTTTGAGTGTGTTAGCACGCCTCCAGCGTCGGAGTCGGGCGATGCCAATGCAAGGCTACACTGAGTTGTTAGTTGTTGGGTTCAACGGAGAAAGGAACGGCGAAGGGCTCAGGGACGACGCGCAGGGGTAGCCACATACCCCGTATTGACTGGAAAGATCAAAGTGTCGCAAGATTTTCTCATGCGTCGTGAGGTCGTTTTGGTGTACTATTCCAAAAGACGTTCCCATCAGCACTGAACTCAATGACTTGACTAGTTTTTCGTGGACTACTTACCCCGAGGCCCTCGCCTTTTAGCCTCTTCTTGCTTCCAATATCTGGTCAAATCCCGTTCCGTAAGCTTGCTTGCCTTCTGGTCCTCCTCTGACACTGGCTGTTTGATCTCTGTCTGTGCTTGTTGCCTAACGGCGAGTTCGGCCACATGGGGCTGCGAGGATTCTGTGGGAGTGTCTTTCAGCTCCTCTGGCTCGGAGGCACTTTGGACGGGCTCCTTCTCAGAAAGAGAAGTAACAAGCGGCTCGAGATCCTTTGCTTTCTGGGAGCGTGTCGTAGGAGCCGCAGATGGCTTGGTGATTCTAGATTTGGAGCCAAAAGACAGGGTTGACTGGCCGGAGCGGGTGGCGGCGGTGTTGCCTCCTCGACGACGAGCGGCAGGCATCTTGACAATTGATCTTGAGATTATGGATTACGACGGTAGAAGACGATGCTCGCTTGGTGTGATGTGGTTTTCTGTACGTCAAGGCACTAGAGGCTGGTGATGAGCGTCGACCGTCGGAAGACTTGAAGGGTCTGATCCAAGGTGAGTGTGTGGGGGGACGATGTCATTGTGTTTGTCGCACCTGGCAACCGCCGCCATTCGCCGAAAAGGGTTATATTGGCACATCGCCCTCCGCAAGCGTTCACATTTCACAAGCTGGACGTGAAGCAACTACAAAGAGCCAACTCTCTCCTGTTCCAATCACTTGAGTCAATCTGAGTTGATTCTTGCCGGGCTAAAGGGCTCCATCGAGATATTTAGTGACAGGCAACTTTCCCCTGTGCTGTCGACAAGGTACTTGCGATCAAAGCATCAAGGCATCTATCTATGCTGGGTCGCTGCTGGCACCTGGAAACTCAGGCATTCAAAGTGCATTCAATGAACAACCTTCGAGGACACTTTATTGGACTTAGTACAATTTGAGAGATGAATAAGTCTCCAGTATGTCCTTGAAACACTGTATTGAAGCCATGCTGATGACCTTCGGCTCCTCTTCTCCAAGGTGATGCGGAAACTCACGAATAGCTCAACTTTCTACGTGATCTTTACCAAGTTCGGTTAGTCGCTGAACGAGACTTAGAACAAACAGTAAATGCTGAAACATGATCTGATTGCTCGTGCCGAACATGGTCAAGAAGCACAAACGGGCACGGGGCAATGCTTGTGGATACGCTTGCCCTCTGAAGTCTTGGGCAGATCAACAGAATATACATTTTGCGTCATACTGATACGAAGGCTACGCGGTTTCTGCCTTCAAATGTGAGCACCGCCGTATCAGTTAAACCGAGTTTACCTCCGCATTCTGTGCAATCAGAGACAAGATACACCACTGGCGGCGACTGATAGTCTGCTACAAGCCATCAAGAGGGGGGAGAGATTGGCCGGGGAGTGAGCTTCTGGCACATGTGATCCTCGAGTGGCTACCAATTCAATGCTGCCTATAGCGTACCCGTATTGTAGTGCAGGTCGTGCGTGGGGGGCCGCATGAAGGACTCGAGGTCGACAGGCTTGCTGACTCTTGGTATCCCTGACAAGAACTCCCAGCTCGCGACCAGCCATGAAACGGTGAGATATACTTCCAGGGTCACGTGGGATGCAAGGCCCTCGCCAAGTATCAAGTACAGTACAACCTACTTTAGGTTAGCTCTATGACTCCCAGCTGGCATTTAAGTGTGAGCGACGGATTTGTGAATGGGCTGTAGGAACCATGACTGTTCGCAACGAATTCCACCAATCTCGGTTGTTGTGGTCGCCTCAGGCCATGACATTGTGGTGCAATATAGGATTGATTGTTTGTCTCGGAAATTTGTCTCGGAAATAAGTAGAAGGAATCCATTGTCATTCAGCCCATGTAAGCCAGGACGAGGCTGACCCGACGGACCGGTAGTTGTAGTGTACTGGTTCAGGTACAGCTTCTGCTGGAGTCTCAGCCTCGCGTGAGGAGCGACGCTAGTAACAAACATGAAATCCACTACTCGCGTGTCGCTGGAAGATTGACCAATTCATGTGTGTTGGAGTGCTGAAAGTGAATAAGCATAAGCAAGCAGCAGTCGGGACGTTAGATTGCGTGTGGTGCTTGCTGCCTTGCTGCATGTTGCTGCTCGTATTCCCGCTGCGGATCGATGACGGAAGAAAAGCGCCTCGAGCAAAAAGGTGGAGAGCAGACAAAGTGGTTCCGTGGCTGCCGTTGGAAATTTGGCTAGTCTTGTGTTAGTGTTAGTTAGTTAGCCGCCGCTGCGACTGAACCGCACCCTCCAACTGAAACCCCCCCCCCATCAGCATCATCATCATCCGTCCTCTTCTCCTCTCCCCACATCGGCGCTTGTAAACAACTCTCGCTTCCTTCGCGATTACCCTGCCCACCCCATCACCCCTCCAAGCCGCCTTGCCTCACTCCCGGTTTCACTCTCCTACAATTTTAGATCTGTGCGCCCTTTGTCGGAGCTTAGCAACAATCCTAGTCTGCGGTCTCGAACAGCAAACCCGCCCTTGTCCAGCCTTGTCCGCACTCAGGCCCGAGCTAGTCCTGCATAGCAACGAGAACGGGATACCGCATCTGCGCCCCTCGAGGACCTTTCCGGTGCAGCGCAATCAACCAGGATCGGTTGCCGGATTTGATCTCTATGCAGGGGTCAATTTATTTTGAGACTTCGAGGTCCTATATACACCGCAGCAACCCCCGAGCGCATCCCTCTCAACCGCCGCGTGCCCATGGTGGTGCGGGTGCAGCGCTATGAGCAAGCCCGCCTTCGTGCGAGTGTCGGGCCCGCCAAATGGCAATTTCTTGATCGGATATCCTGGCATCTCTGCCACAATGGTGAGCTGAACCCTGGTTGATTTTTGTTGCCCAGTACGCAACCTAGTCGCTGACCCTATACCAGCCACGTATTGAAGGTAAAGTCGAGATCAGGCCCAGCACTGGCATTTCACTCCCCGTCAGTGTATCCCTCGTTACAATATCCCTTCATCGTCGCGAGACCATTCATCCCTCGGCGGATTCCGTGACCAAGAAGCACCTTGCGCCACCCCGGAAGGAGATTACCGATATCGTGGGCAAGGAGATGCTTCTTTTCCGCTGCCCGGCCGGTCGAGAGTCCGAAGAGGTCATCTCCATGGACTTGCCTTTCGTGCTCTTCATTCCTTTTGGGCGGGGCGGAGCAGATGCCTCGAGGCGCGTTCCTCCGGCAAGTCTACAACTTCCCAGTCGCACTGCTGAGACATATTATGAGATCGTAGTGGCGGTTCAACAAGGGCCCTCAGAACAGCGGAAATACTCGTTCCCCGTTCCAATGGCACGGTACGACACCCTATCGACGTTTGGAATGTACAATCGCCCCGAGTCCGCCGAGCGAGTGTCGGATCATTTGGTCACATTGGGGATATCCCTGCCCCGGTGGTCTTACGGGCCTTTGGATCCGGTGAGCGTCTACGTGAAACTCTCACCGAACCCGGATTGGATTAGCAAAGCCAGAAAAGTCACTATAAACAAGATTACGATTGGTATTGATGAGGAAATTATATACAACCATGAGGGCGACGAGCCACAGCGCAAGGTCAAGACCTTGACCAAAAGGACAGAACCGATCGGCGTCAAACTACCCCCTTCTGGCTTTTTGACGAATCTCGGCTTGGTATTTCCCGCCAAGGATATGCGGGACTCTGAGGGGATACTCCCCAGAAGTAGACCGGGGTTTCCTACATACGCAGTGAGCGGGTTTACCACAACCGGGAGCCTCTACAAAATCGAGTACTATTTGACTGTCAAGGTATAGTCATTCCGCACTGGGACGATTGAACTCTGCTAATTTTGAACAGGCCCACCTGGCATCTGCAAGGGATATTACCATCCGACAGCCGATCGTTGTTTGCCCGCTCGACCATGCAGGATGCAAAGAGGAGATGGAGGCTATAGAACAGGCAGCTCGGGATGCCGTTCATGTGAACCCGGACAACCCGATGCTGCCTCTGCCCTCAATTGTACGGCCTAACGACCCAAATGCTCTCCGCCATCTTGGGGTGGCCATAGTTGGAGGCAAACACAAACCTCTGATCGACTGAGCGAATCATAACGCGGGCACCTACCGTACACCGGCCCTGTCACAGCTGATCGAGCATTCAGGTTGTCGACAGCCGTTCCTGCTCCAGTGCCGACCACAAAAGCACCACTGCCACGCCAAGTGGTCAAGGACAGCATCTCACGACTTTTCCTTTTAATTCTTCCTTCTCTTCGTTTCAGCATGCCTGCAACTTCTGCACAGAGCATGGACACGTATTACGAATGCATGGGCGACGGAGTTCTTGTTGCATAAATATCATGGTCGCAGTGTGGATTCATTCGCAATTGGCCAGGACAAAACAGGGTGTTCAGGTTGACTTTGCTTCGCTTTGCCAGGGGTTGGTGGTAGAGAGGATTCCGTCCTTGTTTCTTTCGCGTTCCCTCCCACAGTCTCATATAGTGGTGTAAGCTCAATATAATATGTAAGATGTATCTGAAGAGGCTTGCTAATGTCCTAAGAAACAAGACATGCGATCGCAGTGCAATGCGTCCATGCAAATAAATAGTCGAGGCTCTGTTACTCGAACCATGTCAAATCATGAAGACGCTGGCGCTAATTTCCAGAGTAATAGAATAAACAGCATGGTCTCCCACGTGGATTACTCTCCCAGCGACAAGAAGCCCATCGCGAGATTCAGCATCTCAGGATCCACCGAGGTCGATTTCCGCGATCGCTCGTCCAATTCCCGCAGGCAGTCTTTTAGGATACTGAGGACATTCTGGAACTGGGGAGATGAGGCACCGAACGTGTTGAGTGCATTGTTGAGGTTTACAGAAATCTATGCTTCAATGTCAGACCTTACCAATATTCCAGAGGGAGAAGTGCTGAATCTCACCTGTGCAATAAGTTCATTGTAGTCTATCGACTCTTCCATGGTTGGTTGCCTTTGTCTCCTTTGCGACTCCCCGCGATGTCCGGGTCCGATGAGCTTTGGGCAGCAGGTTTGAGACTGGGATCGGGGATAATTCGCAGCCACAGCTGTTGAATAGTGCCGATAACCCTTCTAGACAGTCTGTCACGTTGGTGAACGCTAGTCACCTGTTCCAGTTGCTACCTGGGGGGAGATGCATGCCTGATATCACCGCAACTCGAGATCCCGCGGGCAGAATTTCTTATCGACAAGGCCCGCATCCCGCATCCCGCATCCCGTATCAGCCCGCCTGCATTTCTCTTTCTTTTTGAGTTCAACCCCCCAGCAGCTCCCAGCTCCCTCCCCTCTACAACAGTCCCGGCGCATATACTTTGCGCAATTGGTGCTTGCAACCATAATGGCCGACACCGATGAAGCGGCGATTCACATGCCGTCGCAGGATGGGTCGGCGCATATCGAAGTCGACTTGTCCGATGAGACGCAGGACTTTCGCATGCTGAGCAATATCTCCTTGTGAGCTTTCCTTCCATCACCTTTTTTCTCTTCTCACTTTCCCTGCGAGATGCATATGCCCCTGCAAACGGACTAACAGATACAGTCTTACAGATGGCACCCAAGCGAGCATCCCCAAACGAGGCGAGAAGGACTTCGAACCGAACCCGACGCTCTACCAGGCCGACATCCTCTCCGCCTCCCGCCAGGCAATGCACAACGCCCTCTCCTACCCCCGCATCCACCACCCAAAGAATCAGATCATTGGCGTGTACGCGCCCAATGGACCGGCGCCGCCATCCCAACACACGCCCTCGAATCTCGAATCGATAGCGGAGGGATCTCCTCAACCTTATGCGGAAGTACCGAGCACGACGACGACGACGGTAGGCAACGTCCATCCCGACGCCTGCGTTTACGTCGCGAACCCCAAATCCAATCTGTTCAAGACCATCGGCCAGGCGGATCGGTGGAACCGGATCTGGCTTCTTCCGGAGGAGGCGTTGTTTATGCTGGAGAGAGGGAGTTTGAATATCCATTGGCCTCGTTCGGAGGTTGGGTATGACGAGGATGAGGAGGACGAGGAGGACGAGGGTGATGAGAACAATACCGAGGACTCGGGGATTCCGATGAGCTTGCAGGCTGCCTATGCGGCCTTTGCATCGAGAGGCGGGCTGAACAGCGAGCGGTTTTCGGTGTATACGGGGCTGCGACGGCTGGGCTACACGATCACGCGGGCACCGGGCTGGAACGACGACGGGGAGGATGCGGCTGGGATCGACGACTCGGGGTCGGAGGATTTAGGGAAGCACGGCGCTGGATTAGCCGGGATCTATTCGAGGTTCATGAAGTGGCTCTGCCCGCCGAGTACCAACACGGCGTTGGGACCCGTTGCGGGAGTCGGATTCCACCGCAGCTATGGTCAGTCTTGCTCGCCCGCGACTACGACATTGTCTCTTCAGTTGCTGACCTATACTCGAACAGACGATATCTACAGCAAACTCTCGATAATTCCCTGGTACGACCCGACGGCTGCTCCCCAAGCGGCCCGATCCCCCGCGCAAGCACCCTACCGAGTTGTCTTCCACGTGTACAAACCCTCCACCCCCTTCAAGAAGTCCGCGCCGCCGCCGCCGGATTTCCGGATCGCTGTGGTCGACGCGCGTGCGCACACCTCCGTCCCCACCCTGTCGCAGTTGGGGGCTCTGCTCGAGAGCACGCCCCTGGATCCCCCGACGAGCGAGAAGATGAGCCGGCAGCTGTACATGCGGCTGCGCCACGGGTACCGGAACGTGATTCTCGCGGTGGTGGATGAGGGGGTCGTGAGCTATCTACGCATCTCGGAGGCGGCCTTTGGCAAGGAGAAGCTTTACAAGCAGAAGGCGTTGGCGAACAAGACGCAGTACCGGCCGAAGCCGAAGCCGAAGTCGACGCCGAAAGGGCGATGAGCGCGGCCACTACTAGCGGAGGTGATTCGAGTTACTTACGGTTGTTGCGGCTAGGTGGCCACCGGCATATGTCTCCCCTTTTCGGTAGAAAATACTCTGTAAGAAGCCCTGCAATCCACAAATGAAAGGACGAGGGCTGTATAGAGGGGATAAAAGATTGAATCTGCCATCATCTTTAGGGCATCCGTCTATGGGTGTAGGAAGAGCGGATGCAGATGCTCAGATGGCTTGGCCGGTGGCTCACGGGGAGGAGAGGGAAATGAGCGGAGGACAAAGTGAGATGTGCATGGCACCGAACATGCCCGTGGAAATGCCTTGGTATATCTATGCTGCCCTCAAAAACGCCACTCTATTGTATCCGTCAACGCAGCAGAAACATAAACCCCGAGTCCAAGATAGGTAGTGTATAAACAACAATAAAAAAATGTCTGGATCGTCTTCACGTGAATCATCAATCGGAAATAAGGGATAAGATGTTGCAAAATCGAAACCTATTCAATAGTCAGAACAGGCGCAAAATTAAATTCTCAAGCTGAACTTACCACCCTTGAACGCCACCACAAACCAGCAGCAACAAAAGGAATCAAACATCCAAATAATCCGCCGCCATCAACAACTCCAGACACAGCTCGGGCGGGATCTCCATATCCGGCACGTTGACCTGGTCCTTGTTCTTCTCATTGTAGCACAGGTACTCGCAGACCTTCTCGAGGACCTCGCCGCTGATGTTCTCGAGGACGCAGCGGCCGGTCAGGGCTTCGGAGAACTTGCCTAGATTGGGGTCTTTGTCAGCGTCCTTGTCCTTCACCTCCTTTGCCTTCTGCTCCTTGAGCGAGTCGGGCAGCGGGGGCGCGTGGGACCTACTCAGTGGGTCGAACATCATGCGGAGCGTCTTGGAGATGCACGCGGTCGAGCGCGGGAGGATGAACTCATAGCCGTCGCCGGAGACGAGGGTTACGAACTCTTGGTCTTGTTCGGGGGTCGTCATTGTGGGTGTGTGTATGTGATTGGGTGGGTAGTGGTTTAAAGGGTAGATGGGTTGTTTGGTGGTGTTTGTGGTGGAAAGAGTTGGTTTATATACTCGTCGATGTCGGTTGCATTGCAAAGGTTGAGAGGGATGGGCTTTGTTCGGGTGGTTCTGGAGCGCGAGAGCGCAGGTGAAAGTCTCCGCGGACTGGACTGGGCTGGCGTCAGTGGCCAGTGGGTCCCCGCCCTTGGCTTTATTTGCTGCGCCGCGGAGGGTTTCCGAGCGGAGTACTTCGACGACCCGGGAATGGAACTCTTTCAATTGCGCGGAAATTGCCGTATACTTCGTGTCTCTGGATGGACTTTCTTTCAATACACACGATTGATTTGCTCCATGGTACTATCTGACCTGCATTGAGCTATATCTAATCCAATCCCGAAGTCTATCGCTGGCAAGTCTACACGCGGCCCAAAATCCCAGACCCATGCTAATCATCCTATAGTACCCAACTATACCTCAGCCATCAAGCTTCAGTAGCATTCGCAGCCTTGGGCAATCGAACCAGGATCAAGGGAACTGGGTAGAGACCGAGAAGAACCATGTATCCAAAGCACACACTGCGCCTCAGCGCATCATCCCGCCAACTCTTCCGCTCTGCATCATCACCACAGCCCAGAACTTCCCCTCTCCACCCCATCACCACCCCTCCACAACCCTCCCCACAGCCCCGAGCCTACAGCACAACCCCCTACTACCCCCCCTCCAACCGCCTCAAAGGCCGCTCCTGCATGATCACAGGCGGAACCTCCGGAATCGGCTACGCCATCGCCGCCCGCTTCCTCCAAGAAGGCATCGACCAGGTGATCCTTGTCGGCCGGTCCCCCGCGCGTCTCGTCAGCGCAGCAACAACGCTCTCCTCCAGCTCCAGCACTGCGGAGCCCACATCCCAACCCCAAAGCTCATCCTCCCCCGAAACACCACAGCAACACACCCTCCTCCCCTTCTCCCCAACCATCAGCCTCCTCGTCGGCGACATCGCCGACGCAGCGAGCTGGAGTCGCGAGCTCGAGAAAGTCATGGTAAGCTTAGCCCGGCACCCTCAATGCCAGCCCAGCCCAGCCCAGCCCAGCCCAGCCCCCCAAAACCCCAGCTAAAAGAGGTATAGCAAACCACCAACCCCACGCACCTCATAAACGCAGCCGGCCTCTCCATCTCCCGCGTCCTCCCCAAATCCTCCCCGGAGGACATCGCCCGCATCCTCGACACGAACCTGCAAGGCGCGATCCTGACCACGCGGGCGTTCCTGCGCGCCGCCATGCGGAATCATGTGCGCGCGAAACGGTCCCCGTCGGCTGCTGCTTCGGCTTCGACTGTTATCGGAAATGGGGACGGGGATGGTGAGAGTACTGGGGCGGACCAGCCACCCCCCTCAAAATCCATCATCAACATCGCCTCGTTGCTGGCGCGTAAAGGCGGCACGGGGGCGGTGACGTACGCTGCGTCCAAGGCCGGGATCCTGGGGTTGACGCGCTCCGTGGCGGTGGAGGCCGGGACGGCGCTGCGCGAGGTGCGGGTGCGGTCGAATGCCATTGTGCCGGGGTATGTGGAGACGCCGATGATTGAGGGTGAGTTTGGCCTTTTCTTTGGGGTTGGGTTGGGATTCTGGGGGAAAAGGCCGGGAGGATTCAAGGATTACGGCTGGGGGTGGAAAACAAGCTAGCTAACTCTTCTTCTGTTTCTGCAGATTTCAGCGAGGGGGAAACCACCCGCCTCAAACAGAGTATCCCGCTGGGTCGGTTTGGGCTGCCGCACGAGGTCGCCGATGCGGCGGTGTTTCTGGCGCTGAATGAGTACGCCAATAACTGTGTCTTGAATTTGGATGGGGGGTTGAGTGCTGTTTAATGTCTCCGTGGTGAAATTGGGAGGTGTATGTGTGGTGATAAGAAGATGCTTGGTTACTTCTCGGTTGATTGCATAGTCGACTCCATGCGAGGCATCCTGGCTACAAAGATCGGCATCTCATGATTCAATTCATCTGGTGGAATATACTCGTACATGCAGCAAAGGGGAACATAATATGCCAGTTGAGCGCCAATAGTCTAGAATAAGGGAAACACGTAACCGTGCAACGTGATATGGCAACAAAGAGCACCATATGCGAGTCATTGCCCTATCAGGTATCATCAATCATCATCAATCAGAATGGCACCCCCTGTTGCCTCGTCCAGAACGATGGGATTGGCCCCGTCCCCGTTCGCTTCAGACACGCCGGCAACCCGTTTGGCGCGGTCGTCTCCGTTGCTCAATCCAGCTTCATCCGCGCTACGCTTGAGCTTGGCGGCTGCTGGATTCGACGACGTGCCGTTGACCTGTTCAGAGGCCGCCGGGGTGGGTGTCTTGGGTTTACGCGGTATCTCGGGGACGGCATCGATGGAAATTGGTCTTTCTGCCTCAGCCCCATTCTGTTCGGAAGGCTCGGCTGCTAGCACAAAGAGCTGGAGGTTGACGCGCGGCTCATCTTCGTCATCGATGACGGTGATGAAGCTCTCGTTCTTCACGCCCAAATCTAACAATTTCTTCGGCAAGTTGTCCTCCAGATCGGGGTCGTAGATGATGCCCGATTCCGTGGTCAGGGAAAACTCCTCGCCGTATCCCAGCTGCAACCGAAGAACCTGTTCGACTAGATCGTTGACAGTCGCTCGCTCGGGGTCGATCTTGAGCCGGGCATGCGCGGAAGAGCAGACCGGGCAATTCGGATTGGGGGGTTGAAGAGAATCAGAGTTGATTGCGCGTGCACCCGAGCGCTCGAGGAAGACCATCTTTGTTTGGTTGTAATCTCCTTTCATCACCTTGAAGGCTTCCAGCACACACAATCCAGCAGTCATGGCGTTGGTTGTGGCGATCGCGGGGATAATGTTTCCGGCCATTTGCTTGGTGTCGAACTTGGACTTGGGATCGATCTTGAAGATCGTCGCTCGAAGATTAGCCGCGGCTGTCACGAAGTCCAATGTATCGACGTCGTCTTTATCAAACACAAGGATTGGCTTGACGTCGCTATTCGTGGTCTCTTGCAATGTCTTTAGGCGTTTGCTTAACCGATCCAAGCTGTCCTTGAAGACCACAAAATCTTCGGCTGTAGACCAAACCTTCTGATCATTGCATGATATCGTAATCGCCACGTCGGCCGACTCCTCGGTCAATTTCTCGAAATTCAGAGATTCCGGAGGGCTGCGGGTTTTCCACATATCTTCCATCCCACGCAGCCGCTCAATATCCTCACTGAAGACCTTGTCGAAGACCTTCTTGGCGAACTCATCAGATCCCATCGATTGGCGGATCTCCTTGAGAGCCTGTGCTTCCTTGCGAAGGTTTTCGATTTCCGCAGCTGGCGACAGGTTAGACGAGTTCAGAGCAAAATCCGGGCAGAACTCACAGTTTTCGGCATCCTCTGAATGATCAAATTCGCTAGAATCCTCATCACTGGTGCCAAACAACTCACTTGGGAATGTCAGTCGCTGGCTGGCTGGAGAGCATGTCTTGCGATCATGACAGCGGTAACTTACGGGAACAGATAGCTCTTCGCCCAGACGATGCAGTGAATCGGCTGGCTGGGGGTGCTGCGGATGGTACACACAGGAAACGACTTGGGAACCTCTTTCGAAGTGCAGTCGTAGCACTCAGTCAATCCCTACCGGCCATCAGTAGTTTGCGCAAACAGCAGGTAACCACAGTAACTCCACCTTCTTGATAACCTGCACCTGGCCGTTAAACCCAGTAGTCCCACTCTCGATCAAAGGCACGTTCGCCGCCAGACACATGCGATTGACATGACGACGAGCCTCAAGGTTATCCAGCGCATTGAAGACAATGTCGAAAGTGGCAAACCAGTCCACATTGAATTGACTATCTTTGATATTTGCATGGTAGGCTTCGAGCTTCGCGTTCGGTTGAAACTTGTGTGCGACCTCCTTGGCGACCTAGATGCGGCAGCAGTGTTGGTTAGGCATGTGTTACAAGGGAGATCAAGGCGGAATTGGCGACGGCCGGGCCGCGCGGGGAGTTGGCATTCAAGGTGTCAAGTGACGCACCAGTGCTTTGGATTTCTTGATATGTTCGAAGCGGAAAAGGAACTGACGATTCAGGTTGCTCAGGTCAATCGTGTCGAGATCGATGATGTGGATTTCACCAAAGCCGGAGAGGAGGAGGTTCTTTAGCAGCTCGCAGCCGATGCCACCAGCACCGACGAGGAGTACACGCGACTAAGCCACCCCGGGTTGTATTAGCAATTGTGGTTGAGAGATAGGAGCTAAATCAAAACAGGAGGTCATAAGTTGAACGAGATACGATATGTAGTACCTCTTTAATTCGTCTGGCGAGGGTGCCCAGCGAGCGCTTGTGGTAAGTGTCGCGCGGCATAGTTGCGGATGCGGTTGCGGTTGCGGCGAACGGAGGAAGCCCGAGACAATTGGTGTTACTCTCAGTATGGAAGGTTGAGGAGCATCGCCCGGTAGATATCCAGTGGAGTGAGAGAACAACGAAAGAGAGGGAGGTGAGGCAAGTGGTGGGGGGGTTGAAAAGGAAAAGAATGGAGGGGAATGAAGTGAAGGAAAAGAGTCGAGCCGAAAGCAGGTGAAGATGGAAGGGAAGTTGGGAGTGTGTAAAGTGAAGGTGAGGTAATGACGGCAACTCTCCCCGTCCCTCAATCCCTTTCCATCCCACCACTCTTCACTCCACTTCGAGCTTCCTTCTCTCAACACCCAACGCTTGGATAGCCTTGAAAAGGAGGAGACTAAGAGAAAGATGGAAACAAATCTTCAAGCAACCCGTCTCGTGCTTTGCCATCTATGGATTGCAATGAACCGTGCAGGCCGAGCAACCAAAGCCGGCGGTCCGTGACCCGATCGCATTTCCCTGTTTGTCGTACCGACACGAGGCTTGCTTGGTACTTTTGTTTCTTGATTGACTTCTCCAGGGATTGATCGTTTGATAGCATCAACCCTGTGGGCTAACAGAAAGTCAAGCCAATGCATGGCCCCGGCTGCATTGTGAGACCTCACATTCTATTTCCGAATCTAGGCCCATCCCGCATGAGGTCGGATCACCGGAGTATCTATGATGTTCAGAAGTACAGTGCAGTCTAGGTACACTTCTCGGTCATTCACATCTGCACACGTTTGATGCAGCAATGCAAACCGGAACATCTCCTGAATCTACCCCATTGGCTACTGCTCTCATTTGATGTTTTTGATGGCAGCGGTAGGAGACATAGAACACGCACCCTGCGAAGGCATGTCTCGGCTTCAGAAGTTCTTTGGGCCACTGCGAATGGTCCCCTGTGTTCCCGGTTTGACTTGGTTCCGATTGGATCAAGTGATATACACAGGTGCGGTTCGTGCTATGAGCTCGTTTGACACAGAACCAGTCAGCTCGCGATATAGTAGATGCCCCGGTTATACGACTAATGCTTGTCTATGCTTGTCTATGCCACTGTGAGACTATGTTTCAGTATAAATTGGCTAGAATTGATTTGCAAGACAGATAGATATCCTCATATTTGAACTTCTTCAGATCAAGTCCGAGAGAGCTGACATAAAGGCGGTTACGAAAGAATGTTGTGAGCGCTGTGCCCAGCTCGAGGCATAGCTTGCTCTTGTCACTACCCTCCCAACTCGAAGAACAGCCTACTGAGGCGCTTCTGTCGATCGGACCGAGACTGAAGATGTGTTGGAAATCCTGAAATACGAGCGAAGCAGCGAGCAGATGCTACTGATGCTGAATCAACCTTTGCTGCCTATAAGTGCCCCCTGCGTATGAACACTCCAGTGGATGCACTTATCCAGGAAGACTTATCCGGAATCGACAACTGAAGTTGGATGAATCGGAGCCATCTTCTCTTCTAACAGCCCAGAATGTAGCTTTGACTGCCTCTGGTTATCTCTATTGATGGGGTAAAAGTTGAAGCAGTTAGTACCATCTCAGCGCAGATAACCGAGGCACAAAGGATGGCTCCTGCAGACGCTTAGTAATCGTGCCTTATCGCCCCCCCTAAAATTACCGATAAGCGATAGGGATGGGGATATCACAGGAGAAAAAAAATAATCTCCACAACAGGGGCAGCCTGTCCACCGTTGGAGTTTGTCTCAGCAGGCATTGAAATTTCATGGGAAGATCCTTTGGTTCTCTGAACTCTCTGGGTCTGACCGCTGTGCTTCGTGACTCTCTTTGGACCGGCTCAGTTCCCGATCACCACATTCTTTGGGTCAACCACAGACCGTCTATTGTCGGTGCCTGTCTTCCGCGGAGTCACCCTCTTTCTTCAGTTGTCAACCAATCTTTTGCTTCGCGGCATTCGTTCTTCTCGACTCTTCCTTCGCAAAACTTCGGTGCCCTCCGACACCTCGCAGTCACATCCAGATTTCCTTTCAGATCTCCCTCCAGCCATTCCGTCGTTACCCCCTCTCGATATCTTCAACACAACACCCGATCCAGCAACTCAGTCGCCATGTCCGACGACGAAGCCGATCCCGAGTTGGTTGCTCTCCTCCGCAAGACCCTCGGCCTGGGCGGCTCGCCTGATCCACACACGGCTGAGACCAAGGTCCTGCAAAATGCGCAGTACATCTTCGACAATGCCATCGACGTGGCCTTAAACTCGGCCAAGACGAAAGAGGCCGCCGAGACCATCTGGCAGATGATGCAGAAGAAGGAATACTCTACGCAGATTTGGGCCGAGCACGAGCTACACCCCAAAACCAAGGACGAGCGCACCGTCGACTTCATCTTCACCATGGACCTTCTCAACTTCAGCTTCTGGTCGGAACTTCCGAGCGACAAGCGCTTTGCGATCGAGTATCGGGGCAAGAAGTGGACGGGATATTGGAGCTTGGTGGCGGCGCTACAACGGGCTTTGGACGAGGGTAGGTTCACGCAGTGGCCAACGTTATTGCTTTCCTTATGCTCACCATGTTGCAGGTATCCCAATAACTACCCCGGAGTTCTGGGCAAACGAGGAGGAATGCACCGAGGAGGTCATCAAGCATGTGTTTCGGTCTGCCACTGAGGAAGATATTCCGCTGCTTGAGGAAAGGCTGCAGTGCCTGCGCGAAGCCGGCCGGGTGTTATGCAGAGTAAGTACAAATCCCACCACGGAGATCGTTCAAGTGCAGCACGACTAACCGGCTGTTCTCTTACTCCAGGAATTCGAAGGCAGCTTCTTGAACTGCATCTACAGCGCCAACTACTCGGCCGCGGCACTTGTGAACCTCGTGACAGAAAGCTTCGCCTGCTTCCGGGATGAGACCACATTCAACGGCCGAAGAGTACGGATCTACAAACGGGCCCAGATTCTAGTCGCGGACTTGTGGGCTTGTTTCAACGGCGAGGGCTTCGGCGAGTTCCACGATATCGACACTATCACCATGTTCGCAGGTAAGATTGATCCCTACGGACTTAAAGCACCCACCCTCCGTCCGGCTCTACTAATGTTACTTCAGACTACCGAATCCCCCAGATGCTCCACCAGCTCGGATGCCTGATGTACTCACCCCCACTGGAAGCCCACATCCGCGACCTGAAGCTCATCCCCAGCGGGTCGAACTGGGAAACCGAACTCCGCGGCGCCAGCATCTGGTGCGTGGAGCTCATCAAGCGGGAGATCGAGCGCCGCCACCCGGAAGTGAAAACCAAGCCCATCCAACAGGCCGAGCCGAAGCCACCCTCCTCCGCCGACAACTCCAAGAAAAGCACGAAACCTGAGGAGCATAATGGCAAACAACCACAACAAGGCTATTTCACCGTAACAGCCCCGAACGACGACGCCGTGCAAGGCAAGTCGGCGCGAGGTATCAACGCTATCCTGATCGATTTCTTCCTCTACGACACGATGAAGGAGTTGGAGAAGGAGGGGCAAGAATCCATCCCGCACCATCGCACCCGGAGTATCTGGTACTGATTACCGGTGCCTGTTTTGATTTCTGTTGCGTGACTTGGCTCGAAATCTGTTGATAGATACACTATACCCACCTTTTTCTCTCATCTTTGTTGTCCGGTGCTTGCTGGAGTTTTGTCGCTTCTTGGATGAAGCATATAGACGTTATACAGGATACAATACACTACACTGATCTCATGGCTTGCGTTCTGGAGTCTGCTGTGGGTTGGCTTTGGCTGTATTCGCAGACTCATGGGCCACTCAATTCAACATCTTCTGAAAATCTTCATTACCAAGGGTATCATATTTCTCACGTAACTAATCATACACATACCCACCCTCTGAAGCAACGTACTCCGAGGAGAATAAACCCTACGCAGCCAAAGCAGCCTTTTCGATCTGGTCACATCTCGCCAGAATCTCGGCCTTCCAGACCGAATAATCCTCCCTGCGATCCTCACTCAACCAATCCACGCGATCCTGCATCATGGTCCCCAACCCAGGCAGCAACCCGCGCCTCGTGTCGCGCCCCAACTGGAAGCGCTGCTTCTTGTGCCGCGGAGCCCCGACACCACCACCACCACCATCCTCCTCACCCCCATTCTCCCCCTCATCGTCCAGAAACTCCGCATCACCATCCACCTCCCCGGCCCTGGGGATATTCTCAAACCACTCCGTGCCCTGCGCCCACCCCTGCTCCATAACCAGTGCAATCCACTGATCCACATCCTCACGGTGCCGCCTCTCCGTTGCCGGCAGCCCCAAACTCACCAACGCCGTCTGCCGCATCTCCGTAAAGGTCTTCTTATCCATGACCTTCGCATCCTCCCCTTCTCCCCCGGCATGGGCGGCATCATCAGCAGCAGGCTGACGCCGTCTCGCGAGAACAAGGAAATAAACCGCGACGACCAGCGCATCCACGATCTCCTTGTACTCTTCGTCTACCGCCTCACCGGCATCGGAATTGCGGGCGGCGGTGAGCACGGGCTCCAGGAACTCGAGCATCTCGTCGTCGAGGTCCTCGTCGTGTTTCGCGTGGGTCATCGCGGTCGTGGTCTTGGTCACGAAGAAGAGGATCGAGGATACGCCCGCGAAGATGTGCGGGGCAAGGGTTCGCGAGATCGGGGGCCGCGACCAGGTGCTCATGCGTGGGGCCGGGGTGGAGAGGGTCTTGCAGACGGTGCGGATCGAGGTCATTACCCAGTTCGGGGCGTCGGGGATTTTGGTGGTTGTGGGAATCGGGACATTGAGGCGGGGGCGGTTGGGGGTGCTCGTGGGTTGGGGTCTGGGGCGCGGGGTGCTGGTGCTGGTGCTGGTGCTGGTGTGGGTTGGGGTTCTTGTAGTGTCGTGCGGGAGGGATCGTTTGAGGGGGCTGGATTTGGTGGGTGTGTTTTGGAGGGCTGCGGCTGTTGCAGTTGTTAAAGGGTTCTTGGATGGGGTTTGGGTGAGGCGGTTTGCTTTCGTCGGGGTGGAGGAAGGGGTGGTGCGG